AGGAAAGAGGAATCTACTTCACTAACTGAGAGGAAAAGGGTATAAGAATTATATAATCAGATAAAAGCAAGAGAGAAAAAAGATCTAATAAGCAAAAGCCCAAAGGGAAAGGAGTAATAAATGAGAAATCAGGGTGAGGATCACCTTAAAAAAGATGAAGGAAAAGTACCTGAAGGAACATAATACTGTGTTTACAATAGAGGGGGGGAAGTCCTAACTTGAAGAAACCCACCAGTGTTAGAGACAGAGGAACATATAAACCTCTTATGATTTAAATATGAATAGACTAAGCAATAAAACAAAAAAGAGTGACAGATTGGATAAGAAACAATACCCTGCTATCTGTTACTTACAAGAAACACATTTGAAAAATAAAGACATACACAAAATAAAACTAAGGAGATGGGGAAAATTTTACTGTGCATCAAATGAATCCAAAAAAGCAGGAATGGCAATCATGTTATTTGGCAAAGCCAATAAAATAAAAAGAGATAAATGAGGAAACTACGTTATACTGAAAGCAACCAAAAGCAACTAGCCAATGTCAGTAATAAACTTATATGTTCCAAATGCCTTAGCATATAAATTCATAAAGGAAATATTATCTAAGCAACAAGAAGACATAGTAACACAATGATGAGACTTCAATGTCCCTCTCAATTTTGGATAACAGAAAGATGGAGATAGCTAGGTGGTTTACTGACAGAACACTAGGCCTGAGTCAAAATGACCTGAGTTTAAATCCCACATTAGACACTAGCTCTGTGACCTTAGGCAAGTCACTTAACCTCTATCTACCTTAATCCCTGGGAGAAGGAAATGGAAAAGTACCCCAGTATCTTTGCCAAGAAGACTCCATGGACAGTATGCTCCACAGGGTCATGAAGAGACAGACACAACTGAATCAACGGAACAACAGAAAGATAAACAAAAGAGGAACTATGGAGCTGAACAGATTGCTAGAGAAACTAGTTAAAAAACTTACGGCATCTTCTAAATAGGTCTGCAAAAGAATACACGTTTCTCAGCACCATATAGAACTTTTACAAAAATTGATCGTGTATTAGGGCACAGATATATTGTAAACAAATATAAAAAAAGCAGAGGTAGTTAATACGTCCTTTACATACCACAACACAATAAAAATAGTAATTGGTTCAGAAGCCACAGACAAAAGATACAGACCCAAAAGGAGATTCAACAATGAATTCCTAAGTAATAAGTGGGTCAAAGAACAAATCATTGGAACAATAGCTGTGTAAAGGAAAATGATAATGATGAAAAAATGTACAAAAGTTTCTGTAATGCAGCTAGTTTTTCAAGGGAAAAATCATATCCTTACAGACAAATATTAGTAAAATAGAAAAAGAGCGGATTAATGAATTGAACAATGCATTAAAAAATTAGAAAGCCAACAAATAAACCTAAGATGGGCAAAAAAGAGGAGATATTAAAACTTAGAGGAGAAATAAATACACTTGGAAAATTGAAATGATAAATAAAACTAAAATCTAGTTCTTCGAAAAGATTAATAACATTGATAAACCTTTACCTTATCTGATTAACAAGAAGAAAGCAGAAAATCAAATCAATGAAATAATAAGCAAAGTGAAATCACAGCTAAACCAAAAGAAATAAAAAGAATGCAGTCATACTTCATTTTACTGTGCTATACATTATTGCGCTTCACAGATATTGCATTGTTGGTTTTGTTTTTGTTTTTGTGTTGTTTTTTTTTTTTTTAGCAAATTGAGGGTTTGGGGCAACTCTGCATCAAGCATGTCTACCAGTACCATTTTTTTTCAACAGCATGTGCCCACATCATGTCTTGTAATGTGAGACATTTGGAAATTCTCACATTTTAAACTTTTTCATTAATATGATATTCATTACAGTGATCAGTGATCTTTGATGTTACTATCTCAATTGTTTTGGGGCACCATGAACCGTATCTATAAAGGACAGTGAACTTAATTGATAAATGTTGCGTGTGTTCCACCGACAAGCTGTTCCTTCGTCTCTCTTTCTCTCTCTCTCTCCTTGAAGCTTCTCTCTTCCCTGAGACACAACAATATTGAAGAATATTATATAAACTTAGTTGATAAAGCAGCCGCAGAGTTTGAGAGGATTGACTCCAATTTTGAAAGAAGTTCTACTGTGGGTAAAATGCCATCAAACAGTATTGCATGCTACAGAGAAATCTTTTATGAAAAGAAGAGTCAACTGGGGCAGCAAACTTCACTGTCTTATTTTAAGAAATTGCCATAATCATCCCAACCTTCAACATCCACCACCCTGATCAATCAGAAGCAATCAATATCGAGGCAAGACCCTTTGCCAGCAAAAGGATTATGACTTGTTGAAGGCAGCTCAGATGATGGTTAGCATTTTTTATCAATAAGGAATTTTAAAATTAAGGTATGTACATTGTTTTTTATACATAAAACTATTGCATACTTAATAGATGACAGTATAGTATAAACATAACTTTTATATGTACTGGGAAACAAAAAAATTCTTGTGATTTGCTTTATTCCAGTATTCATTTTATTGTAGTGATTTGGAACCAAACCCACAGTATCTCTGAGGTATGCCTGTAATCAGAACATATTATTAGGTATAAAACTAATAGTCATTCCCCAGTAGATAAATTGTTGAAGAATATGAACAAACAATTCTCAAAAGAAGAAAAACAAAGTATTCACAACTACATGAAAGAATAGTTCAAATCACTAATAATGAGAAATACAAATCAAAACAACCCTGCAGTTTCACCTTACACCCTGCAAATTGGCAAAAATGACAAAAAAATGGCAATGCTCAATGTTGGAGGGATTGTGGAATGATTCGCATGCTAACACATTGTTGGTGGAGCTGTGAAATATTACAACTATTTTGGAAAGCAGTCTGAAATTATGCAAATAAAGTGACTAAAATAGCCATACCCTTTGAACCAGAGATTCAGTAACTGGGTTTATACCACAAGGGAGAAAGAAGAAAGTCACCATATATTAAAAAATATTTATGGTATCACTTTTTGTGATGGCTAGGAATTGGAGACAAAGTAGATGTCCATCCACTGGGGAATGAAACAAATTGTGGTACGTGAATGTAATGGAATATTGCTGTGTTCTAAAGAAATGATGTGTGTAATGGAAACAGAGAAGCATGGAAAGATGTACATGAACTGATGCTGAGTGAAGTAAGCAGAACCAAGAAAAGAATATGCACAATGAATACAACCATATAAATGAAAAGAACAATCACACACAAAATATCAAAAGTGAATGTTAAAAAACCATAAAGATCAAGCAAGATTCAAATAAAGAAACATGAAAAGAGGACCCCCCCCTTTTCATGGATGAAGGAGATCCACACATGTGGATCATTGGAACATTTCACATGTTTTTAAATTTCTTCAATGTATCGTTCAGTTTGTGCTGATTTTTTTTTCCTCTCCAAAAAATACTGTTTGTAAAATGAGATGATTTTCTGGAAGGAGTAGGGTGATGATGATGTAAGAAACAGAAGATATCAATAAAAAGTTATTTTTAAAAAAATGAACAAGTCAGGTTTCCTAGGTCAGGACAATGCTGCAGATATGGTTTACCTAGATTTTATCAAAGCATTTATCAAATTCTCTCGTATTCTCTTTCTGGAAAAGATAAAGAGATGTAGGCTAGATGGGTACATTTAGTACTGATTAGGTGGCTGAATTAGAGGGCAGCTTAGATGGTGCAGTGGATAGAGTGCTGGCTTGGAGTTGGGAAGACATCTTCCTGAGTTTACATCTGGCCTCAGATACTTACTAGTTGTGTGACCCTGAGCGAGTCACTTAACCCTGCTTGCCTCAGTTTCTTCATCTGTAAGATGAGCTGGAGAAGGAAATGGCAAACTACTCCAATATCTTTGCCAAGAAAACCCCAATTGGGGTCATGAAGAGTCAGACATGACTGAAATGACTGAACAGCAGATGTCTGACTACAGAGCATAGTCAGCAAGGTTCTGTGTCAACCACTGGAGTGCTTCAGGCATCTGTGTCCTATGTTATTTAACATTTTAACTAATAACTTGAATAAAGGCATAGATGGCAGGCAAGATTATCAGAGTTGCACGTAACGCAGAGTTAGGAGGAATAACAAACATATTGTATCACAAAGTCAGGATCCAAAAAGATCTTAACAGTGTTGAGCTGAATCTAATGAGGTCAGATTTAATAAGAACGAATATTAGGCCTTGTATTTTGGTCCAAAAATTCAATTTACAAATGTAAGCTGGAGATATATAGCTAGAAATTAGTTTGTAAAAGGTCTAGGAGTTTTAGTGGACTGTGAACTCGACATGAGTAACAGTGTGACACAAGTTAATAGTATGGCAGCAAATAAAGTAAATGCAAAAGGGAATGGGCTCCGTGGAGGGGGTGGGGGGGATATTTTGTCTTTAGAAGAGAAGACTTAGGGATTACTGCCTTCAAATATTTCAAAAGGGTAGCATGTGGAAGGGAAATTAGGTGCTATTTTGTGTAATTCTGGAGGGAAAAGCTAGAATCAATAGAAACTATAAAGAGGCAGATTTGAGTTCAACATTAGGTGAAAACTTTCTAAGAATTAGACTTACCCAGTAATAAAAAAAGGCTACCTCCTAAGTTATGAGTTTGTTCTCATTGATCATATTTAAGAAGAATGTAGGTGACCTTCAATTGGGGATATAAAATAGATTACTGAATTAGGCAGGAGGTGAACTAAATTTCTGCCGTCTCTTGAAACTGAGATTCTATGATCCTAATAAATTCCTTGAGAGTAGGGACTGTCCTTTACCTTTTATCTCTATTGTTACCCATCAGAGTTCTCAGCCATTGGTAACAGCTTAAATAATATTTCTTGAAATTGGAAATGTTTGTTTAATTTCTGCTCTAAAGATAACTTCTGTGTGATTTATAGAACATTTATATTGAAGAATTGCTATTTTCTAGCTACAGATTACTATTATTTCTTTTTCAGACAATGAAAAACATAACATTCAAGTTGTAGCACAGCAAGGAAACAATGAACCAAGCCTTCAGGACATGGCTCTTCTTATTGAACAGGTTACCGGAGTTCCACTTGCTTTTCAGAAATTAATATATAAAGGTAGAAATTTTTCTTTTAATATTTTCAAAGGATCCTAACGTTCAAGTTTGAATACTAATAATAAAGGATAGACTTAAACATATCACCTACTTTTCTTTTTCTAATTCTCCAGCTGCAATTATAAATATCAATATAAATTTTGTGTAGAGAAGTGTTGGACATGAATTACAAGTTAGTGATAAAATAATGCATGTGTGTGAAATAATATTTGTGGTAAAAAGATATTTTTGAGCATTTGTTTTAGGAATAATTCATATGTATCTATGGTTGCCTCAACCTCCTCCTCTTTCCTTAAGCCCCCAGGTCCTTTACCACTGAAAGTCCATCCATCCAGGGGCCTAGGCCCTGTCCCCAGGGAGCCTCTGTGTAGTAGGTGCAGCTCCTGCTGCCTTGAAATCCTGCAAGCCACCGTTGGCAGAGATCCAGTCACTTCCTCTGGATGATTAAGACCTCTGGACCTTGGTTCCAGAGCCCTGCCTTCTCCTTTTCTCCCTGAAATCCCAATGGAAAAGAAATTCTCCTGTCCAAGTTATAGGAGGAGTATGCTGTAGTTATTGAATCTATGACGGGGAGATCTGGTCTTGGTGATTCCTGTTGGAATTCAATTTTTTTTCCCTATGAAAACAATATTAAAAGGGAGGCTAGGATTTTTCCTACATAGAAAATACGTTTGAGTGGGACAGTATTTCAAGTATGTAGAAGATGGATTAAAAGAGTTGTTCTACTTACCACCTAGGGCACAACTATCTATGAGCAATGGAAGGCAGATTTATTCTGGATTTCAAGAAAAATCTTCCTCACAATTAGAGGTGTCCAAAAGTGGAATGGACTGCCAGACATGCCACCCCTTACTGGTTATCTTCAAGGAAAGACTGGATGACCGCTTATTGCAGATGTCATTGCAGGGAAGGTCTAGGTGGCCTTTAATGTCCCTTCCAGCTCTAAGATTTTGTATTAATTACAAAGAATTATTTAATAAGTATTTCATAAACTTATTATATTAATATATAATATATAACAATATAGAATGAAATGTTATTAGAATAATTAATTACAAAAACCATATTTAATATACGGTTTTGCAGACTGGCCTAGAGATCTAAGTGCCTTTTATAACATTGTTTCCATAAGAAAATTCACTCTGAGTTACAAGAGACCCACTTAATAAATTTGTGGAATACGGTCACTTTGTAAGTTAGAGAGCTGTGTGGATATGTAATGTACACTATATTTTTCCCCCAAAGTGACAACTCATTTTATCCCCAAATGTCCAGTATGGGTCGTATATGTAGTCAGATAAATCATGTGAAAATGCCCTTCAAATTACCAATGTTAGTAATAAATTCATCCACTCAAGTATATTTGTGCCTTTGTGAAACTCACCTCTACATGTAACTTTGTCTTCCAAACTTCTCTCAGAGAACATGATTCATTTACGAAGCAGGAGGTACTAATACTGCACGGTGACAAGTGTAATTTTGAAGAGTTGCAAAGTAATTTTTTTTACTGAATCTCAACTTTTGATGCTTTATGGTACCAGTTTAAAATTTAAAATGAATTTTAATTGACATTCGTGCTGATATTTTGCTTTTCCTATCTTGTAGCATTGTTTTTTAAAGTTTTTCAAGCTGCACTGAAATTTTTAGATTCCTTGTTTTGGGTCTAGTTGCCCACATTCTAAGGTTGAATGAAAGAGTAAGACCCAGTTGACACTAGGTTATAATCTGAAAGGAAGTCAGTATTCAATAAACATTTACTAAATCCCTACTTTGTGCCAATCTGCTAAACTTTGAGGATACAAATAAAAAAAAAAAGAAAAACACAGTCCCTGCCCCCAGGGTATTTGTAATCTTATTTGAGGAACACCATACACAAAAGGGAGCTAAAAGGTTTTGGGGGAATGGGTACCTGGTACAGGGACATGATGTTTGTGGAGGCAAAAACAAGCAGAGCTATTGGTAGGAAATGAAGAGAGGAAGTGAAGTGTAGGAGACAGTAGGTGCTTTTAGGCAGTGTTTCTTAAACTGTGGCTCGTGACACCAGTTTAAGAAGTGCTGAAGGAGTCAGGAGTAGAAAAAGTTTAAGAAGCCCTGCTTTTAGGTACATTAAAGACTGTCAAATAGAAGAGGTGTTAAATGTATTATTAGGAAAGGAAAACATAGGGCCAGCGAGTAGAAATTATAGGGAAGCAGATTTTGGCAGAGTATGCAATAGAACCTCCCAAGAATTGGAGCTGTCTGAAAATGGATTCGCCTGCCTCTTTAGGTAGTGAGTTCCTTCCTATTGTAAGTGTTCAAGCAGACACTGGACTTGCTGGGGGAATATTGGAATGGGGATTCAAACTGTAAACTAAAGCTTGAGCAAGTTGATCTTGCAAACCTGGGATTTTATGGTTTTGGAAAAGTAGGTAGGAATCCAATTGTGGAGGAGTTTGAATATAAAAGAAGGGCATCTGGATTTTATCACATGGTCAATCATTGAAGTTTTTGTTTTGTTTTGTTTTGATTTCTAGCATGGGCATGATGTAATGAAAGTAACATTTTATATCACTGAAACTGCCTCCTCATCTACCTTCGTTTTCATTCTCTCTCAATCGGAGTTTCTTGTTCCTTTAACTAAAGGCTGGCTGTTATTGCTTAGTTGCTGCTACAGGCTCCCCAGACATGCATAATTATATTGGGCCTAGTTCCCTACAATCCTGTTTGGAGCCTGAGTTAGGTCTAGAATAACAAATCCAACACAGTTATATCTTTGCAGCCTCAAAGGGGTACTTACAGTCTACGATGGTCAGGACTGTTCCTTTCAAAGGGAAAACAGGGTATAATTAGAAAAATCAACCCACTATTCTGCATGGGGCCACTTATTCAATATTTTTTTACTGCTCCTTGTGACTAATTCAGTATTCAGATATGTCACTCAGAGCCACTGTATAAGTACTTAGTAAATCAGGCTGCTGAAAGTTCCTCTGACAGTCCAGGGGTGGGAAACCTGTGGCCTCAAGTGTGGCCCTTTAACTGAATCCAGGTGTCACAGAACAAATTCTTTTATTAAGGGCCTAACCCCATATTAGTTTGTGTGTGTGTATGTGTGTGTGTGTGTGTGTGTGTGTGTGTGTGTGTGTGTGTGTGTGTGTGTATTTCATTTAGCATACCTCCACATTAATACCAGCAAGTGTTAAAACCTACATGTGGAATCAAGATCAAAGTAAGATCAAAAACCATTTTTACACTGATGTTTCCACCAGCTGACCAGAGGTGACTGGGTTCTTTAGGAGTAAAAATCCCCATCATCCAGCTGAAAAAGACATTAAGATAGGATTGGTACCCAAGAGGCCTTAAGGATTCCAAAAGAAAGCCATTCCTCTTCGTCTATTAAGATACAATGGAGTAAAATGGTAATCTAAGCATCCACATAATTGGGAGGAGAAAATGAAATCCACCCCATTCATCAGACTTAAATATCCAAAAGAGATATATTAAAGGATATTCTTTCTAGTCAGCTGGATCTTTGAGTGGGATGCTATGTGCCTCCAAATCATTGTCCGGATTGGGGAATGGCAGTAGATTGAGGGTATGGTATTTCCGTAGATTGCTCTAGTGTAACAGCTCCAAAAGTGGCTTCCCAGCTTTACCTTTTTGAATAGGAAGACTCTGATTTCAGCAAGAAGGCCAGTGTCACTGCACTGCAGAGAACACGGAGAAGAGCAAAATGCAAGAAAACTGAAAAGCTAAGAAGGGGCTTTTATCTCTTACATTATGAAAAGCCTTAAAAATCAAACAGAGGATCAGGGAACCATTGGAGTTTATTAAACAGAGAGGTGATACGGTCAGTTTTGTGCTTAAGAATAGCAATTTAACAAATGAGTAAAAGATGGAGTGGGGAGAAGCTTGAGGCAGGGAAATTACCCAAAAGGCTATTGCAGTAGTATAGGTGTGAAGTAATGAGGACCTGCATCAGGGTGGTAGGAGGGTCAGAAGCAGGAAGAGGGCCATATCAAGAGATATTACAAAGGTAGAAATGACAGGACTTGCAAATTATTAGATATGGGGGGGGTGAAAGACAGTGAGGAATGGAAGATGACACCTAGGTTGTGAGTCTGAGTGACTGAGAGTATGATGATACCCTGGACAGAAATAGGGAAATTATGAGGAGAAGAAGGTTTTGGGGAAAAGATAATGACTTTTGTTATGCCTACCAGACATCCAGTTTAAGATGTCTAAAAGGCAGTTGGAGATGGAAGACTGAAGGGCATTAGGGCTAGGTAAGAAAATCTGAGAGTCCTCTGCAGAGAGATTATAATTGAAACCATGGCTGCTCATGAAATCACCCCAAGTGAGATATAGTATGGAGGAGAAGAGAAGAGGGCCCAGGAAAGAGCCCTGTGGGACTCTCATGGTTGTGGCAAAGTTATGGAAGAGTATGGATGAGTCCCAGAAGATGGACAGGCATGGATAGGTTATGTTCCGCATTGATGAGATCAAAGATCTGTCAAAGTAGTTGTATATTTTGAGTAGAGTTTAAATTTAAGTGAGTTAAAGTTTGAGGCCTAGACATCCACTTGGAGACCTACTAACTGTCACTTGGAAGGGAGGAAAAAGAATTTAAAAAAAGATAGGCTCAGTAGTGTCAAATGCTGCAGAGGAATCAGGGATAAAGATTAAGGAAAAAGCCATTGAATCTTGAAGTTAGGAAGTCACTGATGACTGAGAAAAATTTTACTTGAGTGGTAAAGACAGAAGTAAATTATAGGAAAAAATGCCATGAGGAGGTAATAGAGGTAGTAAGTATTGGTAGCCTTGCTTTTTCTCCAACACATCAGATTCTTATATGGATCCTTTGAAAAAAAATTTTCTTTTTGCTTTCTTTTACAGAAGCTTAAAAAACTTTTTATACAGTTCTCCCCGAAACCCCACCTTTAAGCAGTTCTGTCTTTTTTTATATAAATTTATTTATTTTTAGTTTTCAACATTTCCTTCCACAAGATTTTGAATTCCAAATTT